CCTGATTTTTGAAGTGTCTTTTGATTCATCCCTTTTCCACAGGAGTGTAGCTTTCATTCTACTAATCCCCCCCCCCTTTTTTTTTTTTGCTGAATTCCTTCTTTCTCTTGGGTTGTTTTGAAGGCTGTCGTTTGTTTAGGGCCTGTCACAGTGGTCAGCAAATTCAAGCAGTACCACAGATACAGGAAAACCTGTACTGGCTGACCCCTTCAGAAACCTGTTTTTCTGGGGAGGATAGATGGTGTTATGAGCTGGGAGTAGCAATTTAAAACCTTACTGGCAGACTTTCTCTTCCAAGGGCTCCCCAGTAAAAGAGTATTCCAGTGAGCTGCAACCAGTTTGGGTGAACTCTCTAACTCCCCCCACCGCCCGGCTGAGTCTGTCCAGCTGGGGAGTTCTTAGCCCTTCAGCAAACTCCGCTTTGCCTCCATCTGCCACAAACAGAAGTGATGAAGCTTGTGCCAATCACAAAGGATGACCCTGTAACCCTGCAGTTTTGCTTGTGGGGAAAGCCTTAATGAGACATTTCCTGATTAAAATAAGAACGCCAAACCTCTACATATAAAAAGGAGTTTATTGGGAAAAGGAAAATAGAGCAAATACCAGGGAAGTCAACAATCTCACACACGTGCAAGTCAAATCAATTCAGTCAACAAAACATATTCTTAACTGTTCAGAGTTCATTGCAGAGATGATGCTTGGAGATAATGGATCATCCGGGCTTCCTGGCTGGCAGTTTTTAGGTAGGCCTGCCTTGATCTTCCTTCTTCTTTCTCCCTGCTGAGTTCCACAGAAGGTGGAAGAAAGTAAAACCAAGCTGTGACTATTGCTTCTCACTGCCAGACAAAGTGCTCCATCCCTAATGTTAATGGTTCAAGCCAGCACACTGAAAAATTATCTGACAGCTGCACCCACTTTCCTAACAACCTAGTGGTTGAATTATAAAAGTTCTAACTATTTTTACTGATTGTGCCATGGTATAAAAAGAAGGGCATGAGAGGGGCAGTTTGGGAAATAAAATAAGAATTCTGTCTATTTTGGCTTCACAAGCTAGGATCAATTCCCTAATGCTTCAGAGGGGTCCAATGGTGCCATTCTCCAAGACAGGAGTTTGTTAGAGAGGACTCCAGGCCAAGGGCCCAACAGAATGGCAAGCAGATTCGTGGACTGAACTTCATAAAGACCACTTCCCATTCTCTGCTTGAAATGGTCTTCTATTTCAAAGATGGACAGTATTTTAATGGGGGGGGGAACATTATATATTCTTTTGATGAGTGAATACTACAGTAGGCAAGGCAATGAGGCAAAGTAAATGGAGCAGCATCAGATACAGAGGGCAAGGATTTTCCAATTTATTTCCAGGGTTTGGATGGTTGCAAGCTCCCTTTACTTGTTAACATGTGTTAAGCCTGTTTTAGGGCTTACAGTTTACTTTTCAAGTGTTTTCTGCCTCACAATAAAAATGGCATCTTCAGTTTTGGGGAATCACATAGTATCATTTAAGATACAGCCAAATGCTTGTTTTTATGCTTCCTCCCCAAAGAATCATAGACTGGTGTACAAATAAATAAATAAATTGTAAAAGCAAAATAACCTTCAGTCAAAACAATTTCAGAGAACAATAAATAAAACCAGTAAGAATAGTGGAGCAAGTTCGGAAGAGGACTACCAGGATAGTGAAGAATCTGGAATGCCAAGCCTTATAGGAATGCTAAATGATTGGGTATGCATAGCCTACAGAAAAAGAAGAAAAACAAACCTGAGCAGAGATATGATAGCAATCCTAAAATATCAGAAGGATTGCCACACAGAACTGGGAGTGGACATTCTCTATTGTCCCAAAGGGCAGGACCAGAACCAATCAGTTAAAGTTACAAGGAATGAGGTTCAAGTTAGACATCAGGAGGAACTTCCTGACTATACAATCTGTCAGCTAGTGGATCCAGCTACCAGATGAAGTGGTAACTTCTCTGTCTCTAGAAGTCTTCAGACAGAGGCTAGATGCTCATCTGCCAGTGATATTGTACTGGATCCTGCGCCAAGTAGCGGTCAGACTAGATTTACCTCTATGATCCCTTCCAATTCTATGCTTGTGTGAATACAACAATTTAATATGAAGTTCATTTATAAAAGGCACTCTAACAGGCATTCTGCTTCAGGACCATTTGTTGCTCTGCAAATGTCTAGATGAACAAGCATATCCTTGGTTGCCATTTAAATCAAGATTTGGGATGAGGGGCAGCTACATTCCTCCGGTAGAGTTCCAGAACTAGGGTACTCCCACAAAGAGGGATATACTAATTTAGGTTTGATTTCTAGGTTGGGATCAGTCACCTCAATCATGCATTGAATTATGTTGCTTTGTTCTTCCTTTCCAAATTGGTCAGAAATCCAGTGCACTTCTAAGGTTTGTTTTCCACCCTTTCTCTCCTTACAGTAGGTAACAGGCATCCCTCCCCATTTTTTTCTCTTAGTTCCACTTTCACAGAATGCCTCCTTGATTATGATAAAGAACAAACCTAACTTAGATGAAAGGAAGAGAAGAGAGAAGAGAAAAGCAGGAGGGCAACTGCAGGGAGTTCGCTATTTTCTTATCTCCTCCACCACAGGGTGTCAGAAGTTCATTTGATAGCTGGATCCCCATCCTTGTTCCAGCCTGACTGCTTGAAGTTGATAAAAAATGCCCTTTCCAAATTTTAAACCTTGGGGGAAAAAAGGATAGGCAACAAGCTGACACTTTTTATGGAGTTGTGTATGCCTGTTTCCCTCCCACTGAAACTGAATGCAATCTCAAGGTGGCAGGTGGCTAATACCATATTCATATCATTTTGCATTTCATCATGGTACTTGACGTGCTTGCTGTCAAAGATCCTAGCTCAGGTTCAAAGCATGTCCCCATTTTAGATGCAGATTGTGCACCTGATGTGCCCCTAAAGATTTGTTGATTCATATCTTAAAAGCCAAACAGATCTTTAGAAGACCTTAACCCTGGCTTTTCATGTGCTCTTTGGTTTTCCAAGGTCTAGGCCAGGCCGCATGGGCTAGGCTCATATTGCATGCCTTTGAACCTGGGGTGTCACTGTGTCAATCAAGCCTGCTTTTAATTGATCTCTTCATGACTCCAAGCCTTTGGTGATTAACAATCAATGGGACAGAATTTCAGACATTCATCTCCCTATCCCTCTCTCTCTTTCTCTCAGATGTTCCCTCCAAGCATACTGAACCCATTCTAATGATGTGAGGTCTCAAAAGCTCCTATAAATGCCCTAATAAGAATTGCTTAATCTGAAAGGTGCTATCAGGCTCTTGTCTACTTCAATCCAATCATGTTGATATATTGACCCAAGAAGGGGGATGTGGGAAAGAAGAGAAGAGAGAGAAGTCAGATGGAAATGAAATTCAGAAGGTGTGAACAGTGATAGTTACTTATTGGTAATGATTATTCTCAAAACCGTTGGGAAGGACCTAGGCATTCTAGCACTGGTGCCCTGCTCTTTTCTTTGTGTTTAATCTGTGTAACAACACAAGCAAACTTCTGGAGGAACTATAGCTCAAGATGAAATTGGTCTTGTACTTTTTTGCATAAAAACAAGGAATTGAAAGTCCCTGTTCCCACCCCCATTTTGGTTTTGGATAGTGCCACCTCTGGAATCAGATTTCTTTTTATTTTTTGCTTACAGATTGGCAAGTTTGTTCTATACTGAGTGCAGCTAAATGTTTCTAACAAAATATACAACATTCGAAGATGAGCTGGCATATGAAGTGACATTCTTAGGTTTGGTAACAGTGTAGTCAGAGAAGATACTGGGGCAGAGCTAATAAGTTGCATTCAGGAAGACCCTCAAAATAATTTTTATTTCCCCAAGCCTTTTGGCCATAGTGTGGTTCTGGCACATTTTTTTTTTACTGTAATTATTTTCTCTTATAATTATACTGAGTGTGGAATGTTTTAATGTATGGAAAAATTCATTGTTGAATTGCTCATGTACACTGTCCATTCAGATTGGGGTAGTCTATAATTACTGCTAAATAAATGAGTAAATAGAGCTGAGTCTGCTGCAGGATATGGTCTCTGTGTCTGTATGACACAACCTCTGGGTGCTGTTAAGAACTATAAGGACCTGTGAATTGCTGTTGATCTCTAAGAAAGCGTAGACCTGTCACCCATGTAGTGAAGGTGGGGAAAAATGACACAAACTTTCCAGATAGAGACACACTGTTCTCTAAATTACAATGATGTGTATTGTTGTAGTGCTTTGAGGCAGACAATTTATACTTATCATTTGTAACTTAACAAACTACACATATATGATTCTAAACAGATAATTCCAAATGGAGGGTTTGTTTGTTTTTTTTCCAGAGGATCTTACCTAATTCATTCCCTACAACAATTTATTTCTGGCTCAGCTATGGAATATTTTAGTCTTTTTTATTTTTATTTTTAATGGGTTTAATTTAAAACAGAGATATATTTTCAAAAAAGATAATGGCTATAGATGGACACATAATTACCATGATTGTACAACTGATGCTTAAAATGACATTAATAAAAGATACCAAGCAAAGTACACTGAGTTGTTTTCATACTATTAAAAAGGAAAAAAGAAAAAAGAAATAGATTTTTGAGCTTAGTAACAAAGCCTTCACTATGTTATTGTTTATAAGAAAGAAAAAGAAAAAGAGGAAGGAAGGAAGGAAGGAAGGAAGGA